GAATGCCTGTCTCTGTGGGGATACGCCAATCATACATAGGAGTGCTTGTGTAGGTATGTCCCATAACGTGGTTAGAGGAAAGTATGCTTGCACTGAGAATGCTGGGCAACTCTGCTCACATTACTGAACCACAGGGTTTCCTGAAGTAATTAAATAGCAGAAAGACTGCTTCTTCCCAAAAGGAAGGTAACTGAATATTGAAACGTCAGGCAGCTGTGTAAAATAGCTAAATGGACAGAAAGTTGAAATCCAGACTTCTAAGGAACACACCTCAGAAAACCCAGCCCATATGCCAGACATCACGTGTGTGATTTTGGGAGACACATGGATTGAGACCTGCTTACAATCACTACCACAGTCTGGCACAAACGGTCACTCTGTTACTCCATCTAAGGCAGGACTGGGGCACGTTAGCAGGCCTTGAAAGGGGAAAGAGCACGTACCATGCTCTCAAACCTTAAATTCTAAGCCCCAGTACATTCTTTTGTACGATCCAACCAGTAACAGCCACCAGTGCCAAAGCCATTTCTTCAGTTTTATGTTATCACCCTGTCCTGGGTTTGGTGGGACAGAATCATAGAATCAGTTTTCTATTCAGGAAAGCTGCATTTTTAAAAAGACTGTAGCACTCGATTTAGTGGGAATAAAGTAGATAAGAAAATTTGTTTAAGTTTTTGTCCAGCACTGGTATGCAGGTTGCTGTAGTGATCAAGGTCCTCAGCAGTTTTGAGTTAGCCAGGTGCAGAAGCTAAGAGGAGCAAACGCCAGGGCAGCTGACCCAAGCTGGCCAACAGAAGTATTTCATACCATAAATGCCATGCTCACTATAAACTGGGGAGTTTGCTGAGGAGAGGTCTCTCTTTCCTTGTCTCACTCGTGCCTGTTACATTTTCACTGGAGCTGTCGTGCTCAGAGTGTTCCCTTTTTTACCTAACGTTCAGTGCTGGAAGTACACAGCATGCCACTACTATATGACCTGGGTATAACTGTATGTGTCTTATTATCGTTGTTGTCCTTATTACAACAACAACAACAACATTTTGTTATTATTATTATTATTGTTTATTTTAATAATTAAACTCTTTCTATCTCAACTTTCAAGTGTTTCAACCTTTTTCCTCCCACTCTCTCCCTCGCCCCACTGGGGAGGCAGGGTGTGAGCAAGCAGCTGCATGGTGTTTAGCTGCCTTTCAGGTTAAACCATGACACACCCCCAACAGAATTAAACACATCCGCACTGTTAGAAATACTTGAGCCCTTGGGCTGAGTCACTTTTTTGTCATTTGGAGAATGAGGCTCATTTTATTTCAGTGAGCAATAAAGATCTGACAAAGAGGTGTACTGGAGAACCCCCACCAGGACACTCTTGTGTTGAAACACCACCTAGCCTGAAATTACCATAGATTAAACACTTTCTTTCTCTGTCAAAACAGAACAGGATCCAGTTCACCATACACTAGAATCATTAATCAAGGAAGGAAACATGACAAAAAATAATTGAATAATTACCTTCTAAGGTATTGCCCAAAGCCCTGCATCTCCTGATTGCTCTGTTCATTCATATGTACAAGGGAATTGAAGCTAATGACATAAGGTTTTTTCTTTTTCTTGCTTTTTTTTCAGGAGAGCTGTTTGTAAATGTTCCAGTTGCATTCAAGCAAATAGCCATTAAAACATATCTACTCTGGACTTCAAGAGCCAGATTTCCAAAGGAATTCCTTGCCTAAGGATGCAAACAGTCTTTACACAGTTTTCAAAACCACTGCAGGAGGTTAGCCATCTATTTAGTGTTAGCATTGCCCCTCCAGGGAAAAATACAGTGCAAGGAAATTAAAATCACAAAACCATGTCACTGGAACACTCACCAATGCTACACAATCTCCTGAGCATGGCATTTTTACAGAATAAGGACAAAAAAATGGCTACTCCAAGTCAGTTCGGAGGTCCATCAAACAACTACCCTGTGTCTTACTAGCAGAAGCTTAAGGAAAGTGTATAACAAACATGCTAGGTACAGAGTGAGTCTTAATCTTCATGTAATTTCTCAGCAACCAGTGGCTTAGGGACTTCTTGAAGCCTCTTCTTCCTCATTTCCATGTGTTTCCCTATAAATACTCACAGCCGTCTCTAATAACTTGCTCAGCAAGAGGTACAGAAATTTTGCATGACACAAACTAAAAAGCAGCAATGCATTCAGGTAGCACTGTAGCCAGGAATCAGAGATTAAACCTGTAGTTATATACTCTTCCTGACCTTTTTGTTGTGTTCATCAGCTATCAGTAAAGCAGGGTCAATGCTACTTAGGGCCACAGAGTTTAAAGTGACTAGGTGTACATTAAATCAAACACAGTGCTTTCACAATTTCAGCTAGGAAAACAGAGATGTAATATCGTGGTAAGTGAAAGCAATACAGGTCCACCTCTTTGTGCCACTCACAAGACCTTTCCTGCAATGATTGTCAGTTTGCTTGTTGTCGAAGTCTCATCTTACTTTGAAAGAGTTACACACGCGTCTCATTAATCACAACTTAAGAATACATGACAGGTTGCTTCATTCTCTCCAGCCGCTCAATGACCAAAGGAAACTAAATCTACTTGACCTAATCTTTAGTGGTAGGGGCTCTAGGCTCAAGTTTAGTCACATCTGAACTGTTACAAACATTGGATCAAATGTCTTCTGCTCAGACTTAAGTGAAACCATTGCAATCACTAGAAGGCAAGCTTTGCAGTCACCACTTTGCTTTGGAAGACCCAGGACGCATTCCTTTGTTGCAGGTAGCCTCCACTCACCCTCCCTCCCTTACTTCACCAGAAACCTTCAAGCAAAAACCCCAGGTGGGAGGTGTTTCTTCAGTGTGCACTTCTCAGGTTTTAACGACTTCCAAAATGCTGCAAGGA